AATTTTTTTTAAAATTGAGTGGGGGTGCCATATGGAACTCTTACCCAGATAAGGCAGTAGATTACCAGGAAAATGAAATTGTATTGATGATATTGAATATAGCAAATATTTTTTTTACAAATACACCAAATTGTTGTTTTGTTTAAATGTAAATGGCAGTAGGAAAACATGTCTTTAAGGTAACCAACTGTAAAAAAGTTGTCTTAATTATTGAAACAACATTGAAATTGACAATAGTATAAAAAAATTTATTTTTACGGGCCTGCCTAGAAAAAATTGTGGAACTTTCTGTAATTGTTGGGGAACATTTTTATACTTTAGTTAATATGTACCCAACTCAAATATATGCATGAAATGAAGTTAAAATATATTAGTTTTGTTTTAAGTTGAAACTTTAAGAGCTTTGGGGGACTCTCCCTCCCACAATCTCATTATCTTTGACCTGGCTAGAAGTCTACAGTTTTTGGCTGTTTTCTCCATTTCCTCATGGATTGATCTTAACAATTACAGAGGCATGGTGACAGGCTTTATTATGAACATAACTTTTTCAGAAGAAATAAAGATTTAATTTTTTCTTCTAATTAAAATTTGTTGTGTTTCTGCTTACCACTAGACTTTGGAGTATATATTCATTAAATTATTTTATTGGCTTCTCGTGTCATAAAGACCTGGCTAATTTAATTACTAGCTGTTAGTATAAACACTAGTGTAGAAGAGTACCAACCATTATTTTTGTAATTTAGGTTTTAAAAACTTTTTTTTTTTTTTGTTGTAGAAAGAGCACTAAAAAGAGACTTTTACCTCACCCGAATATTGTTGAAATGTACTTGGCTTTTGCCGACTGGGTCCCACTGATGCCTCAGGCTAAGTTACTTTATCCGCATGCACTCCCGGTACGTCTTAACAGCGAAGGATATGGTCGAAACATGACTTTGTTCTTGGTGATGAAGCGGTAAGATTTTGTATGTCTTAAGATTCTTGTAAGTGCCATAACTTAGTTATGAAATCACCACTTGTAACATAAAGCGTACTAGAACATTTTTGCGACAGTGCAAGTTAAAACTCCCGTAAAGGAGTACGTCCTCGGGGCTCAAAGACTTATTTTCTACTCTTAATCTATGTGTAAAGAAGAACAATAAAAAAAAAAACTGAATTTGTTGCTTTAAAAAACTGCACATCAGGTCTGTTTTCTTAAAATTCTGTGTTTGAATTTTTATTGAATAGTAAAGTTACAATCATGTGGACAGAATTATCATTATTTTTGCCTTGGTATGTATACTTTATTTCTATCTATCTATCTATACTTTTGAACAACGCTAAGTAATCAACTAAACGGCCAATGGCAAGTAATGTACGTTATATTCTTTAAGATACAAACTAAAGGTTTTCCATTATTTCTAATAATATATAGAATATATGCTTATGTCAAGTTGCTTCTGTTTTTCTTTGTTAGTTTGTAAGGTTTTTTTTAAGATGGATAACTTGAAAAATTGCCTAATCCACAATTTTGCAAGTTTCTGCTTTTGAGTTTCTGCTAAAGCTATGTAAAGATAATCCTAGAAAGAATGTAGTATTCAACACTACAGGAATTTAAAACAAAGATAGCCTTTTTGTTTGTAATGGAATTATTAATCTTTTTTTATATATGTTCCAGAGATGGAATGTTAATATTAGAGTCGTAATTCATATTAACGTTTTGTTGTTTTTTGTACTATGGATGATTGTCTTTCACCAGATATCATTGTTCGTTGCGAAACTTGTTAAAAGCAAAAAACTTGGATTATCGTACTTCCCTCATGATTTTCACCCAAATATTGGAAGGTGTCACCCACCTTCTTCGACATGAGGTGGCCCATCGCGATCTGAAGTCCGACAATATTTTAGTGGATTTATCCCATGGTTAGTACTATTGAGTTGAAGTATTAGTACATTAATTTGTAGAGAACTGATCTGTCCAAAGGGATAACAGTATTAAAATAAATATTATTTTGTATAGTGTGTGTGTGAATAGGATTGATTTCATTTCAACTGGCTTGTAGGGAACTTGACTAAATCGCATAGTGCAGAAGACAAATACTTGGTTTGAGTAACTTGCTCATGATAAAAACGTCATACCAGTTTCTCCCATTCAAGTGTAAGGTTATAATAATTCTACTTGTCAATAAGTTTACAAACTTTATTGAAGGAACAAAATACACAATATTTCTTGTTGGATGCTGATCTAATTTTTCATTTCCAGTTACTGACTTGTACAGAGTTAGGGTTTTTTAGGAAACATTCTTTGCATGAGCTTCTTTTGACTGTGTTTCATTTGAAATGTACTAATTTTACCCCAGATGCGTTTCGTTTGAAATGTACTAATTTTACCCCAGATGCGTTTCGTTTGAAATGTACTAATTTTACCCCAGATGCGTTTCGTTTGAAATGTACTAATTTTACCCTAGATGCATTTCGTTTGGAATGTAGTAATTTTACCCCAGATGCATTTCGTTTGGAATGTACTAATTTTACTCTAGAATGATCTTCACTGATTATGTTGTAATTTATAGCAGATGTTATTTTTGAATGAAAAGGTTTATAATTTTTATGATTACATAAAGTTTTATGCATAGTTAAAAGTATGAAGTGGTACAAGGAGATAAATGTTTAATTTTTATGGTTACGTAAAATGTCGTGTCTGGTTAAATATACACTTTGATACAGTAAATATTTAAATAGCTTGAAGTATAAAGGCTGTTACAGTGTTTTTATAGATTGTCATGTTTTATCCAAGTTAATAATAGAAAAATCACTTATGATACAGAAAAGAGATTTTAGGGCCTTAAAAAATGTATTTCTCTATGATTACTATCTGTCATTCAATCAACAGGTTTTTCTCAACCACTTGTGGCAATCACTGATTTTGGATGCTGTTTAACTGATGGTTTGAAACTTCCCTTACCTACAGAAGATATTTGTCGTGGAGGAAACCTTGCTCTCATGGCACCAGAGGTAAGACTGTTTAACAATTCTACACTTTGATCTTTAAAACACTTAGATATCACAAACTAAGTTCTCTGTAGTCATCACTGCTGAATTCCAGTATCATCGCTTTAGTGTACAGAACACGGGTCTGTAAAGTTTGATTTACAGTGAGCAGAACGTACTGCCATATGTGCATCTCCTGCTTGGATAAGAATCCCCACCCACATGGACTCAAAACCCCATAGATATGTTCACAGTTTTATTTCCACACAAGAACGAGTTGATGCTTGAAATAAGTCAAACATAGCTTGTCTATGAAAGTTCTCTGATATTTAGGTACTAATGGTTAAAATTTTCTTGTAACTCAAACAAACAATATATATCTGCTAATATTTTAGGAACTTGGTATTATTACTATTTTACTAATCCAGTGTATCATAAGGAAAAATCAGTAGTTAAGAGGATACAAGTAAAAGGTTGATTGTAAGTCAGCTTTCCCTAAAAACGTATATGTTAGTTTATGAAATAATTCTGTCTTAAAAATATCAAAAGTTGGGTCTCATTATTTTCTACATCTTTTTAAAACTAATTCCTTTTGATCTAATTTTTCAGGTGTTAACAGCAGAACCTGGCCCGTTTTCTTCGATCAACTTCTCCAAGTCGGATATTTGGACGGTTGGAACTCTAGCCTATGAAATTTTTGGGAAAAAAAATCCGTTTTATCCCGATAGTCCAGTTTATCTTGACAGCTATACTTACACGGATGAGCAGTTGCCTCCCTTGCCTTCTGAAGTACATGTGGTTTTACAGAAACTTGTTAAAGATCTCCTGAAGCGCGATCCGGACAAGGTAACGTTTCACCTACTTTCTTTAAATTTAATTATAGAGGAATTCTATGGTATAAATATAGTAATTTATGACTTCTTTCAATTATTTAAAATGTGTGTGTGTGTGTGTATATACAAATTTTCTTTTCACATTCTCCATGTGGGAAATTTCATAAGGCTTAGCAACCCATGACAAGCAGCAAATGAGTATAAAGGTTGTAACTAAAAAAAAAAGATAATTATTTGCTTTCTTTTTTTTTATTTACTGTTCTATGTTTTAAGAACTTATTTGTAAATAGTATTATTGTATATACATATATAATGTAACTGTATTTTACAAAATACTAGTCCACTAAAACACAGCCAAGACAGGTCATTTTTATATTATTCGACATGGTATCACGAGGGCACGTGCACCACGTCATTGTAACTTCTGTATTGTTAGCCAGGCATAGCTGGAAGGTCAATATAATAAATATATAATGCTACGAGATTTAAACTATTTAACTAAACATTTGTGTTTTCGTGTTATAATCTTTAGTCATTCTAGAATGAAAAAAGCATAAGTTAAATTTTTCTATTTCCTAATTTTCTATGGTGGTTACGAGGCTGGTCAAATTGACAGACCCCATAGAGTTAGGGTAGAGAAAATAACAAAAAATATAAAATTTTACTGAAAACAAATGTTTGAAATGTATTTAGGAGGTTTCAGAGATTTTTGGGACAAACAATAGTTTTTTTAGTTATAACATGAAAATCACTTCGCACTTGGACTGGTAACAAAACAAACTCAATATTTTCACAAGTAAATCTATAATAAAAAGTACTTAATTAAAAAATCTGATTTTTTTTGTGTACGAAAGACTTGTAATGTTTACTAAAAAGTCTACCACATTGTGAAGATACACTTACTGCATTAAAAGTTATAGTATAAACACCAAGCGTGTTGCAAAAGGGTTAAGGCATTATCTGGGTGTAGAAAATATTTTAAAGAACTTTAATAGGTTGATTGTTGTTATTTTTTGAACAGCGTCCAAGTCCTAGTTTTGCAGCCACTGTTTGTCAATTGCTGCTTCTAGCTCCGACCCACTGGTTTAGTACTCCTCCCAGTCACCAGGTTGTTCTGAACTGGTTGGTATCATTAGCAGGCTTCACTGTGTGTCAGAGCAGAGTTATTAAGGATCACCGGTTATTGAGGGTCAACCCAGTTGAGTGGACACTTCAGGCTACCTTCTTGTCCAGAGTTCATCTGGAGGAAGTGATGCGGGCTCTTAAGTATATTTCAAAACTGTGTGAGGAATAATTACAATTTTGTTTCTTATTTTTTTAAGCTGCTTACGTACTGAATCTAGTAGCTGTAAAACAACGCATCGGTTGATATTGACTGTATTTGGGAAAACAATTGTTTACTTAAAATGTAATTTATATATGCAAATTGTACAAACATCATTTTTTTTTCTTACACTAGAGTCAGGTGTAGTAAACTGTTAATTATAACAAGTCTATGTATTGAGTATTGGTGTTGTTTTCAAGATTAATAAAATTTGACAGAGAACTGAAAATTTTAAGTTTTTTAATGTTGCATAAACATGTATGTTTTAAAGAATAGAATTTTAAGTTAACACTAATGTTACAGGATTGGAATAAAGATACGGCATAATTTTATGACTTAGTTAACGTTGATTATTGCATAAAAAACACAGAATTGTAGTTGTGAGGTTACAGAAAAATGGAATTAAACCAGCATCTTATAAAGAGAATGGTTATTACTACAAGTTTGTACAAGCTGAATCAATAATCTAAAGGATGTCTTATAAAGATGAATGTAAACTGGTAAACAAAAGTGTTTATAACCATTCCATGTATAATACACAATTAATGAGGTCTCCTTGTAGTCACATATT